ATATGATCGTACAATAGATTTAGTATTAAGCATGCGCAAGAAAAAAATCTTATTCAGTCTTTACTCAAACATAATCCTGAGCAATTTAATACTATATTATGTGTATGTATAAAAATTTAAAGTTCTTTTTTAATGTCACTGTCAAAGTTTTCAATAGAAAGGTAATTTGATTATTGTAGTTGTAGGCATATTAAGTTTTAATAGCGCTAATTTACTTTTATTAATGAATGTTAAAAAGAGTAGCAGCTAGTAAATGTTTGCTTAGTCTCCACCTGGCCAATTCGAACAGATCGTGAGTATTTGATCGTGGTTCGGAAGGTTTTCCTAGCTTCACTTGTTGGCTGGAAGAAAATGTAAAAAGATTGGGCTGCTATCCCTTATAGCTGGTCGCTGTGGTCGAGTACGTCATGATGTCTTCATCCCAGAAGCTGTTAAAGCTTCTAAGATGTTGGTTAAAAACTAGCATTATACCTCACTGAGATCGGGATAACGGTTTCTCCCACAAGTAGCTTAGTAATTTTGTTGCTCAGCAATTCGGTGCCTTTTTATGCATAAGCTGCAAGTATGCAATATACGAAAGCTTTACTTGCTTTTACCGCATATTTCTATTTCTTTAAACGCACCGTTACCTTCACTTATCCCCTCATTAGTATTTTTCTAATTAGGATTAAACCAAAAACTATACTGTTACAAGGGCTAACTTAGCCATCACATTAAATCTATAGAATCATTGAGCAAACATTGAGCTCGGTAATATCGATTAAACAGCAGTTGTGGAAAGGCCGATGAGATCATTTATCGCATAAAAAAATTCTACCGTAATAACGTGAATCATTAGCAGGTTGCCTTTAGCTGAGACTGATCGAGTGCAATCATCAGCAGCAGCAGCAAGTAACGGATATTTGTATCTTTTTTACTGGTGCATGAGTTTGGGACTGGCGTCTTCATTCGCTTAGAGCGTTGGGATAAAAAAAAACATGTTATTAGTTAGCGAATGTCTAGAATTACTGATGAGATTTTTCAAATTCGAAATCCCTACAGCAACATTGACGACGGGCGGATCGCTAACATCTGCTGAGAATGTGTCAGCCTACCAGTAATTTCTTGACACTTCCGATCACTGCAACAACAGGGGCAAATAGCCGTGTGATGACGTTGGTGACGACAGTGGAAGAAAAGGCCGGCGAATCTCTCGTGCAATAATCATGTCGTAATTCGGCCAGCATGGACATCAGAGTGGCAAGACCAGAACAGCAAAACCTAGCCAACCGCACAGGCCATATCATATAGGCCTCATTAGCACCTTAATGGAATGACACACACCAGTAGAATGGATTGAGTGAAAGTCCCATTTTATAGTAGTTGTATTTGGAGAAGTATTGCGAATTAGATATCGGTTCGGTGAGAAGAGCGTCTAATTTTAAATTCAATGTAACTTTTTCAATGGACATTTCGAGCGCTAGCGACCCATTGATACAACTAATCTAAAAGCACCGTCTGAATGCCTAACCGGTAAGCTAGAAGTTTTTCGCTCACTCAGAAGTCGAGTTAGACGTCTACAATACACTTTAGACGGGCTTGTTTCTGATGTTTTCTTGTAAATGATTAACTTCATTCGCCTAAATTTCCCATAGTAAAATCATGCTTTTGTATCAGTCGCATATCAGCATTGTAGGCAAAAGAATAGTCATTTCTCTATCGTCCTCGTGACAGGTTACCAGTGATATGTTCACTCACTAAATATTTCTTTCGTCTACTATTATTTACAACTACAGCCAGTACTGCTTTCTAATTACGACCACATGAAATGGTTTAGGTTCGAAACCGGGCGTAGACGCACAATTCGTGTCGTGCTGGAAGCCACCCCTTTGAAGAAGTGATGACGAAAATATCAAACATAGAACTCAAAAGTTGATTTGCTTTTAACAAAACACAATGATAACCGCCTCCTACGTTGACATGCTCTCCGTCTTATTGAAGTTGACCTGTTTTCTCCAGCTATGTATATACTAATACGACATTAACTACTAGTTTATATTCTATTGAAAAAAAAAACGCATTGTTTTAACTGTATACTGCATCGGGCAAAGGCGTCATCTTGTGCTCAAATGATGACGCACAGCCTCAGATATCAAACATTAAATTTATCGCGTACATAATTAGCTTAGAAAATTTACATTGCGGAGTTAATGCTTGCAAAGAATTTCATTGCTAGCGAAAAAGATGACCAAGAACCCTACTCAGGCCTATTAAAAGACCTATTACACTAAAGTATGAATACAGTTTTGGATTATGTATTAATGTAAGGCTGTAAAATGAAAATGTCGATGAATTCAATAAGCAGTAGAAATAGCAACGTGCTTTTTAAAATAAACACTTGCTTTACATTTACAGGTTATAGTCATTAGCCATTGCGACATTAAATAGCATTTGCATCGAAAAATGAATGCCTTCTAGGCAAAAAAAGATCAAGCTATGTATCTCTAAAGACGTACGTTATAAAATTCTTTGTAGCACAGTATATGAAAAAGAAACTTCGATAGCCACAGTGACGTAAATTCCTCGTCCTTTCGCTGTCTAAAAAATCTAATTTGAATATCTCTAGAGCAGTTACCCTAAGACGTTTCCCTAAGCGGGAGAGGAGAATTCGGTGTGTATATTTACTTATGTACAACTATGAGCATGTATCGCAAGCAAATATATATATATGTCCGGAGTGACACAGCAATTAGATCGTCATTTAATGAACTCCCTTATGGTGACTCCTACGTTTGCCCGTAAAGAGTGAAAAAAAGGTCAAGTAAGAAAATGAATGTAACTTGTCAGTTAGTATTGTCTCATTGAAGGCGACACAACGCTAAGGAGAAGATTAATATGAGAAGGTAAAAAAGAGGATAAAATCATGCGTAGAAGCGGATGGAGTCAATTTGAAAAAAACTATTTTGTTCCAGCTCCACCCACCCTCTTCCTCTTATACCGATTTACATAGCCGCTGACTGACTGACTAATTAACCTACTTGTTACCCCACTTGTCAGCCTCCGCATGCACAAATGTACAGAAAGCCCTACTAGCTCCCTCACTATCCTCTCAATTTGCACATTTCTCTTACGATGCAGCGAATTTTCATCGTTGCACCCCGTGCATCCACTAGACTTCTGTTCACTGTTGCGCCCTTCGGTTTGTCCAGTTTCTCTAGTAAAAATAACACCAAGACCACGAGAACTGACGGTGGTCACCGTTTCACAGTACAAACGGTTATCGTCAGGCAACCAGACTAAGCAGTCATTAATCGCCAGCCACCAAAGGTGTGGCAATGGGCCATTTCTTCGAATAGACATTTTTTCCCAATCGGTTCTATCACGGCCTTCATTTAACAAATTAACTTCACAAATTAACTTTATCTTCGCTTTTTCTTTTCCAATATTTTTTCATATTCACCAGCAAGTTGCCATTTGATTTAATGAACAGAAAAACGTTTCGAAGTTTTGTGAAGAATCGGTATTTAAAGTATTCTTAAGTGTATTTTGTTTATGTTCAGTAATTAATAAGCAAGTATTTTAGAGTCGTCTGCGTGATAATTCAGCGGTTAACAGATTTACGTGCCGGTATTGGAAAAACGTTGTAGTCTAGCTTCGAATTCTGGCTCAAACACACTTTGTTTCGTGATAAGAACCAACCGCATGATGGAATGCCTAACTGCGATACCGCACGTAAAACTCGAAATTTCAAAGCAGTCTTATGATCCGTGTTTGAATGTTATCTTCTACCAATTACTAAACGTTGGATATATATTATTATATATATAAATATAAAGGTATAATTTCAAGGTAGGAGAGTTACTCCTATTGCTTTGAATTTTTTCTTTTGAACTTACAAACCTATAACAATAATAATAATAATACCCGTAGTTATTTAAAGGTTTCTATGTTACATAGGTTGACGTTTGTACAAACTAGGAACAATTCGTTATTAACAAAACTCTAGTATATTCTATTTTTCCAAAGCGCAGTGTTTGCTCGCATATGTACTTAAAGTGTAGGTGCATCTTATTAAAATATTTTCAAAAATTATTACTCATAAAAATTGCTGATGTCTCTCCGATGGTAGTATTGTAAACTTACAAAGAAGGATAGTTATTTGTACTCAACCCGCTTTGATATTCAGCTTGAGTTGAAAAACCGTGCTTTACCGATACATTTATGAATACTGGTCGACTGCAATTTAAGAGCACGGCTTGAACAAAAAGAAATGGCACAATATTACTAACGAGTAAATAAATAAATCTAGACGTTATAAATGCTACTAACCCAGATATAGATTTATATTGCCAACTGTTGCTATTTATATTTCTATTTTACATATCCTCTTTCGAATGGTACGAGGCAATTAAATATCTGCTAAATAGATCAATGAATAACAACTGTTAGCAGCTGTCTTAGCATCTCAGTGAATGTCTCATTGATGAATTATAGCCTGGGAAAGATTCTGTAATATACTGGACTTCGACTTTTATTTGAAAAATAAGACGGTGGAACCGTCAAATGCTTTTTTTATGTGTTCCATACACGTCCTTTGTATAAATAAAAGTGTTTTCAATTCAACCTAATAACTACGGTTTGCGAATTCGATGCCCTACCTGATCCAGTCGTTCAAAAAGACACCCAAAATCCACTGCTAATCTCTAACAAGGAACCTTTGCTGAATAATTCTACCTGGCGGAACACTCGCATACGATATTATCACTAGCATTAACCTGATGGCTTAAACACTAGTTCATCTTTCCTGTGCAAAACAACAGACGAATAAGATAGTTGTTGAGCGGCTTCCGACATCGTGATTTTTTCTAAGTTTTAGATCTTTGATAAGCAGAAGAAATAATATAAGGTCATCTAATTAAAACTTGTAATCTGCAGACGTCAGAACAAAGTTAACGAACGATGTTATAGACTATGACCTCTCTCATTAAGTATAACGAAAGGGCTTTGAAAACACAGTACAATACATGCAAATTATACTCGTCTTTTATTGTTATCATAACGATTGATTGTTACAACTGCCACACAAACAATGGTTATGACAGTTAGGCAATTTTATTGTTTGTTCCCTTACTTTTATCTTTCAGAAGATTGAAGAATTATAACTATGATCACCATCGTAACTTGACTAAAATGTACGTAACTACTACCAATCATTCGTTTTAACTTCATTACAATCATTATTAATAATATTATTTACAAGAGTCGTCACATTGAAGACACTGAGTGTGATTGTTGTGTAGCATATTTTCCTTTCTTAGTTACAACGGTGATCTCTGCTTCGTACTTTATGTACAATGACACGATCCGTAAACTTTAAACACAAAACATAGAATAATCATAAAGGTTAGCTATATGCTTAGTCAACCACAGTAAATGACTACCGATGAGATATCTTTCTATGGGTGAATATGGATAATGTAGCGCACATGGTATAGTTTCTTTCTGTTTTGTGGTCGTTGACTTGATTCTCTTTTATTATGTATTACGTAAGTCTGTTTTTCGCTGATTTACTGCACTAAATAACTGATACCTTCGGCAATTCAAATATATGGAATTCGAAAGCTCACAGCGTCCCGTAACTTTATCATGAAATACACTAAACACTTAATAACAACCAAATTTAGAGCATGGCACGAGCTGGTTTTATGTGTGTCATGAAAACAACAAAATGATGAGTGCCCATCGACTCAATCGAAAATGAATGCGTTATTTCATTACTAACGCTTCTTGCGCCAAGGTAACAAACGTGTTTCTATTGGTTTGCCACTTCTGCATGCAAAAGCCAAGTCGCTTCCCTCTTAAAGGTAATGTCGGGATGCTAATATGCGGTTAGAGATCGGAGTTGAAGCCTCTGAGGAGTGGGTTGGTGATAGGCAGGTTATCGATCTTCGTTTTTCATTTTATACCAAGACTGATCGAAGAATTACCGACTGCTCCTATGATGGATTTTTCGAACTGGCGGAGGCCTTCTCCAACCTAAGCAAAACATTAATAAAAAGAATACCTTGCCATCATTGTTTTGCGATTTTATATATCGCTATCTAGAAATGAAAGAAAGAAATTTTTGTCGTACCGTTGGCACGAATAATTTCTCATAATAATAATAATGCATTGGCTTTGGAAAACATGAACAGAGCCAGCTTTTTTTTTTCACTTGCGATACAATGTAACTGAGTTGACTACTGATTCGAATGTTCTCCTTGACGCAACTAGGACAACTCACCTATAATTTGAAAGGAACAAATTCAATAATTTAAATAAACCAACTGAATACCCTGTACATGTTTAGCTACATTTTTATTTCAGAAGAGTCAGAGTTACAAATTGAACCTCGATGTGATGAAAGCGAAAAATAAACAAATAGTAATAAAAAGTAAGTACCGTGTATTAGCTTTATTGCCTTCCTTTTTAAAGGGGCAACTCAAAGCTATTAAAATTGCTTGTTGTCTCTCTGAATCACAAAGTGCGATAGCTTGAAGATTAAGCTGCAGACGAGACCATGCATTGACTATATCGCATCTCGAATCCGTAGAGAAAAGTATATAGGAAAATTAATATGTATGCTGATCACTTGCGAACAAGTATGAAATACACAGTCGAAGGTCAAACGATACCTAAACATTGATTACAATTTATCTAAGAGAGTTATACAAAAATTCTTCCTTTTACTTAGCGCCTAAGTAAGCATAACGTGATTATTATGTAGAAGTTACATGATTAAGGGTTTAAGTTTACTCATACGTACATTACGACAGACAATTTTACGCATCTCTTATTAAACAGGCAGTTTGCAAACACAGCAATCTAAGACTAAAGTTGTAATTAGTAGTACTTTTTTTTTATGAGATTCCTTATTTTTTAGAACTATAGGCGTTCATTGTGAAATTCAAAGCATGTAAGTATTTGAGGACCTTAATGCTGTGATGTACTTTGAAACCATAAGCTGATTTTTGTTGACTTTAGTAATAAAAACTTTCTTTGGTTAAAAACTAATGCATAATATTTGAGCGATTCATCTGCGAACTATTAAGCTTAACTTACGCAGAAACTCCTTCGTAATTCCACGGCATATTCATTCAGTGAATCCTAGGAACATCTATTTAGGAAATCTTCTTATCTTAAGCAAATAAGTCACGCATAGAAACTATAACTATTGTTTCTCTCGGTGTACGCGCTCTTAAAGTCAAGGCGTTTCGTCATTAGTATATATATATATATATATATATATATATATATATATAGAGAGAGAGGAAAAGAGAGCGGGAGCGAGAGATATTACTAGGACACTTCTGCAATTCGAAGTTAGGGTGCAAGCCTCATGATTTAGGCGGTTAAAGAGGAAAAAGAACTGTATTTGAAGGCAGCGCAATGCTAAACGACATACTTGGCTGAAGGGATCCTAGTTTCGCCAGCAATTTTTTGGTAGTTTTTTTTGTTATTTCTGAAGCCGCTGCTTCTTTGCCTAAAGATGAAATTTTTCCTGGCATACTACGTCGTCGCGAACCTGATCTTGACTACCCGCCCTGCCATGACCGTCTACTTAAGTGTCTCGGCTTCTACTAGCTAAGGATCGCTAGACAATGATGGAAGGATCTATAAAACGATGCGCGGGTCGAAAGAGAGAAAGAATAGAAGGACAGTAGATAATAAAGAGAGCAATTCGAAAAAGAGCTAATATAAAACAATGAGTAGGAGACGACTCAACCAAGCAGCCGATGCTGTTGCTATAGCTGCAACATTGCCGCTGTCACAATTCACTGCCGAAAAAGGATATGGTGAGAAAAACGGATCCTGTTTTTCACAGCCACAAACTCCACTACAAATATAGTAACAGGCCAACCGGACATTATCAGGCAAAGCTATGCCAGTCGCCAGTGACTTTTTCTACTCGACGAACTGAGGAAAGGGAAATATATCAGGAAAGATCAGAGTATAGTGAGAAGGTAGCTTCGAAGCCAAAGAAGCCAAATGTAGGCGCCTATTGCTCTGGTTTTTTAAGGCCCAGATACCCCTAGTCCGCCAGTGAAAGGACTGACGAACACAGGCCAAATGACAAAACAATTTGTGGGAAGCCAACCTAGGTCTACGGTCAAAACATTGGTGAAAGTATTGTATGCCGGACCGACACTGCGTTGGGCGTCTACGTGTTCCACGATATACTAACAGAATTGTGTGACACAAGAGGCCGAACGTTAGCTTGCTATGAGCTTAGCATTAAACTGCACAAAATAACTGCCCTGCGGCACAGCTAACAGCAAAAAATACACCCAACAGGAAAATTCGGACAGAGCGGTACAGTTTGGTTGACTCGTAGTAAGTTACCATTGCGACATGTATAGAGGAAGTCACATCTGACGGGGAACTACAAGCGACTGATATGTGTCAGTCCTTCAAAGTTCATATAGCGATTCGACCTTAGCAGAGTAAAAAGCTAGCGTTAATATTTCAAGAACAAATGTTTGCAACTACGCTTAGTGTTACATTGTTCTTAGATGATCACAAGTTTTAATTCAGAAGTGTCTATTATCAAACGTTGGAGCATTATTAGTAACAATGTTATGTAAGTTAATAAGGAGTTACACTGCTAACCCATGCAGCTACACACATATGCAGCTTGAGCGTTTGGAAGATATGGTAATAGAGAAAAGTATGTCGACGTACCGGTGCAGGCGCAACCAGCTGTAATTCGCCAGCTGCCACTGATTTGCTTGTTTCATTTGAGCATTGAGGGTCAGTTTTCGGAGTTTAGTGTCTTAGCTTAGTAGAAGCAGCTGAAGCAACGGTAGAATTGAGGAAAGACGGAGAACCAATAATAAGGGTACTCGATTTATCCATGAGAAAAGAGGGCTGAAGAATATTGCTGAATATTATGGTTTGTATGCGGTACTTGCGGACTATAAGCTGTTAACTACAGCACATGTATGTGCAACAACGACGGAGACAATATGTCATGCCAAAAAACTGAGTTCGACTTTACGAGGAATGGGAGGTGAGCTAGATGGTTTCTCTTTATTTTGCGGATTGCCGTGACGCCCGAATTGGTCATATTGTCGAGAAGATGAGAAACACTGTTACAATACATATTATTGATTGAAAAAGCCGTCGGAATAGTCTCAAGGGATGTTGGTTGGTTTGCTCATTGGTTCGTCGTCAATTTTTTGAGCTGTCCCTTTTCGACTCATATGATTTGCTAAAAATGGACGGCTACGGCAACCTGTCAGCATTTGGTAAAGGCATTCTTTTGGACGGGGGCGCTCGAAAAGTCGGATTAGAGGATACTTTAGTGCCACCCGTTATGACCTCCGCCACCGCCTCCGTGGCCGCCAGTTTCTTGTGATTCGGCCACCTTCACCTGGACCGGGATAGCCTTGAAGACCTTCTCAACGGGCGCTAGACTCTTAAACTGGTTATGATGCACCTGCACTGGCACGTCTAGGAGCATCGGAAAGCCACCAAAACCGCCGCCGTGGCCACCTGCATGTAACAAACAGTAACAGAAGCCAGCAAACAGTCCACCAAAGGTTAGTAATAGCACTTAGAACAAAGCGGTTTTAATATACTTACAGTACGCCACCGTTTAATTAAACCCACAAACGAGAAAAATTTGCTATTTCACAAATGACCAGGCTTAAGCAACTTCTGGAAACGTTTGGGCTAAGTTATTTATTTAGACATAGTTTAAAATTTTTGCGATTCTATCCTTTTTTTTTACCTCAGCTATTTTTTATGACACTGTGTCAGGTAGCTGCGTGTAGAAAATTAACAAATAAAGACCAAGTCAGATGAAAATGCATTCATCATTTTTACAACAACCCTCCTAAATTTTCTTGAAGGAACAGTTCCATTTTGTATGTGATCTAGCCTTTGTTGTGTGTAAAAGTAGACCTGAAAATAGCCCTCCTCAACCTACTCGATCGCGGAATTAAGGGACAATTATTGCTATGTATGTTACAGGATGCATTACTGGACAAGCAGCCAAACGAAATAGACCGTGCTATGAATACCACGTAAGATCAACTAGCAAACGTACACCAGATTTCGTCCTAAGACGCAACAAACCAACGACAGTTTCACTGACCTCTAAAACTATCGCTTCCGCTGCCCATCCAGCCGCCCCCGCCGTTTATCCAGCTATTTCCGTCGCCCATCCAACCTCCACCCCCAGAAGGCCAACCTCCGCCTTCACCACCGCCCATAACCCAGCCTCCACCTTGGCCACCTCCATTTGGCAGCTCTATGACCTTAAACTTTTGACCTGAAATTGACACCCAATACCGATGATATTAATGACAGCTTTTTAAATGTACATCTAATATAGACGGGTACTTCTAAAATCTCAAGTCCTCAATCTCCTTAAATATTTTTCTTTTGAAAAACCTCCTGTAGGGGAAGTACACGTTATATCTAATTAGTTAGGATTATATCATATAACAATCAATAACGTTTGAGATCATACAGGTACGACAGTACAGATAAGCGCGTGCTGGAAACCGTCAGTAGGATAGTTAGGACAAGCCACCTTATTTACCTATGATATCAGACAGTTTGAAAACAAAACAACATCGGTTTTTAAATCTAGTCAATTTGTGGAATGTAGACGCTTCAATCTACTGTAATTGTCCTTGAGCCTCTTAGTCCTCGAAGTTTCGGAATCGATTGTTGATAGCAAAAAAAAAACAGAAAGTAACAACTGTTTAGAAAAGTAATCTGGACATGGAAATTTAATGCTTTTGTTATTCATCGTTACTTTATCTCTATTAGATGATCCTTTGTTTAATCCAAAAAGCAACTGAGGAATGGCGATGATGCCTGGCGCCTTTGACCAGAGTACGTGCCTTTTATTGCTGTACCAAAGGGCCATAAGTTTCTTGGGAGACTTCAGATGCATTTATTATTTCATTTTCTATGCGTACCTCATAGTAGAAGATGCCCTCGATGTCCATTGCAAACCATCATCTATCGTCCAAACTTACTCGACACTCTCACCAAACTGGATTTCGTTATATATATCTTAACCGCGCAAACTTAAGTCGAATACCTATTGACTACTAAAATCATATTAAAGTTATTCATAAAATGTATTTCTGTTTATTTAATTACTAGTAAGGGCACACTGCCAAATTATTGTTAGAAAAATCGATATTATCATCTTCATGCTCGTCATCGAAGATACTACACTGACCTCCGTTTCTGCTGAGACTCCAACCTCCACCCCCGCCGCTTCCTCCGAATTTCCAACCCCCGTGGCCTCCACCTCCGCCAAAGCCACTACCTACAAAAGACAAAACAATGCACAAACCAGAAAAATACGTTTATGTGCGTTTCTCAATGCTGCTTCCACAGAGCTCATACATTGCTTCTACCTAACGTAAAGCGCTACCGTATAGTCATCGCCATCAATACTATTATTTAACGCCGGCAAAGATCAAATATACTTTCATTTAATAGGTGGGGTTTACATCTCTAAATATATTTTTAAACAGAAATGCTTCCTTTTCTGAGCCTGCTCGGAGATCTAATAAGGTCCTGTTTCAGTAAAATATAGATTATATAATTTCAAATAGTACAGGTATTAATAAACAACATGATCATCATGTGTTTCTGTGCTTTCGGGATCGTACATTGCAGCCATAGTTGCTTCAGATAATTGAATTCACAGCCGAAGAATATGTCTTCTTTCTTGTCATTTCTTGAATGACCTGAGAACACGAGCAGATTTGTTAATGAGTTAATTTGCTACAATAAATTGTACTCTACTAGACAACCAAATCGCAAATTTACATAAAAACAGCGGAACACGATGGTGTTCATAAGTTTATTCAATTTTATATTTCCAATATCATCTTTATAATTTTCCAAATCTAAGTAGTAGCTTTTCTTTACCTAATTATGTCCATACAACTTACTCATGACGGCAGTCACGGATAAATATTATAATCTATGAAAGTTGTGTTAAAAGTTTAAAAAAGCGTATCTGTAAAAAAAACTACTAACTATAGCTATAAAATGTTTTAGTATGCTGAGAAGAACTCTTTTTAATTTAAACTACTTATTATTAAAGTTACTTAAGCTCTTAACGACACACTCTTTCCTCTCATTACTCGCAAACTCGAACTCAAATTTCTGTAACCTATAATCTTCACATCGGAACAGAAATATCGAATAAAAGATCTGACTTACCGGGAAGAGTGATTATGCCTAACCCGATATTGTTAAACAAAAAAATATGTCGTGCATTTCAAAATCAAACTACATTTTTCTCAGACCTACTAATTGTATACCCTTTAATTCGAGACAGCCTTTTTTTTCTCTACTTATATTTCTGGAAAAAATGGGTTTCATGCGAACGTTGCGTCTTTAGGAACAAGTATCCCTCCAACAAGCCGTAGGCAACAACCATTCGTCTGTGACGAATTCGGCTACTACTACTACTTGTTCTGTTACCTATGGCAAACAAAGGAATAAATAAATGAGGTATTCCAAAGCACCATCCATATACTTTCGCACAAACGTAAACAAGTCCAACAACAGAGGCCGATTCACTGAAACCTACGTAAAATTAGCCTCTGTAATGGTGCAAAGGTAACGTGTCTGCCTATTAGCCTTAACGTGTGAGGTCCCTCGTTGGGCCTTCGTTTCGCCAGTCATCTGAAGCAGCGTTAAACTTGAAACATATATATATATAGCGCTTCACAGCCACTCATTCTCATATTATATGCATAGTTCAGCGGTCATGCTATACATATCTGCCGTATCGATGCTGTAATAGTGAACATGTAAAATTTCTCTTGCACATACAAATCGGAACTATAACTAAATGATCAACACATTGTTTTTTGTGCTACTCTTTCCAAGCAATGTAACCATACGGTTCTGTAATAGTGCAATAACTCAGCGAGTGGTAAAAATTCATTTAGCAGCTTTGTCCTCGGTAACTGTGTGGTGGTATACCTTAAGCATAAACTTACCGAATTCTCAGGATTGCTCGACTAAAATAGTTCAATGAGATGTTTCTCTAACGAATACACGACAACCGGCATAAAAGTAAAAAACTTCATAATAGCTTCAACGGGAACAGACACACTTAAGCAACTTCTTGTAGTTATTTTCTTCTTTGTAATGCGCTTCGATACAATTTCGTAACTTTGTGTACAGTTCGGGCTAATAAATAATGTTGAGTTCCACTATTACTAATTCCAGTCTAAAATTTCGCGTAAATAAGGATAAATTTTATTAGAACTGACAATCAGATATTTTTGTTAACATTTTGTTCTTGTTTAAAGTATTTTTCCCAAGATACTTTTTTCTTACGGCTTCTCCGTCGCTTTAATTCGATCATATCTTAAATGAGGATATCTATATAGCGCTTTGCACTTTACGACAGTTAAAAGACTCAAAAGGGACATAGCGCTAGAGGAAAACGTGCATTAAAATGCACATTATTCTGCGGAACAGAAAAATTCTGTAACAGTGATGCATAATTGCTGCAGTGAAATGCATTCCACATCAACAGGGACAACGAATTTAACGCTGCTTTTGCACCATCACCGTATCCCGGCAGCAATTTTGCCGTGACCCTTATAAATAATGTTTGCCCTCTATATGTATGTGTATACATATTTATAAGAACTACATGTATACTTAGAAGTGAACTTGGATGTAAGCAGTACATGTTTACCCATGTCTATCGTTATAAACATACGTGAGTGACAACTAGAATGTCTTCAACGTCTAACTTCCCAAAATTTTATATTGTGTGATTATCACGAAGATGATCGTGTACTTACGGTCGTTACTTTCTAGCCCCTCTTCAATATTAACATCAGTTAACACAATGGTACTCCTTAGACCTGTTCAAAATGTGTTAAGTCGTCAGCTAGTACGATGTCAAAAGCAACGTATAAAAGCATAATTTGTTCCTACGATTTATATATAGATTCGAAAAGTATGCATTTATTATTATTATTATTATGTTACTTCGTATATCTGTTGTCAGGCTATTAGATCGTATTGTTGCTGCATCTCTGTCCTCCTTTATGTATTTTTCTAGATGAAGGCACGATCTATTTGCTGACAGCGTGCTCACGCTACGTTGTTGACGGCATTGTGATGTTATATCTAAGTGTTGAGGAGTATTCTATTTGCAGTCTTTTGCATAAAGGAGAGATCGCCGAAAAAGTTAATGGGTGATATAACCGACAATAATCACCTATCAGTAGTTGCGACTAGGCTGATGCTGCCCGCCTTCAATAAGGTAAAGATCGCAACAAACGATATTTTTTGTTCCATAACATAACATAAGAAAACAAAAAACAAAACAGAAAAAATATTAAAAAAGTAGAACTAAAGGATATATATTATATCCTTTGGCTCTGTTTGCCTAGAAAAACAACTTTTTACCGAAATGAAGTTGAATGTCAATTGTGAGGTGTTCTTACTGCTCAGGATATACAAGATACATATGGCCAAGTGCTACATTTTTAAAACCGCTTCTCTGAAACGGTCTTCCTTCTGTGGTGTGTAAATTTTTTGATGCATTATTCGACCTGTTGTTAGCGCTGGTTATACGCAGTTTATTTTTTTGTTTGTGCAGGCAGCTCATTATAAGAAATAAAAGGATCATCGAAGATCAAGTCAGCAAACTTATTTGTTTCATCACTATTACTACCAACATTTTGCTGCTCGTCGTTTTTTCCGTTATTTTCCCGGGATAAGTAAAAGAAAAGTTTCGGAGACGCCTCGTCAGTGCCACTTGTGAACTAAGTGTTTGCTTACACGAGTAAAGAGAAGAAATGCCTTTGCTAGAACTATGAAATAGATAGCTGTTATTGGTCCTGCTAATGAATTTGTAGGTTAATCCCGCAGCCGCTGCTGTTGCTGCTGCCAACAACGGCAGCTGCGGAAGTGTATTTCCAGGCGCGTCGGTCATCACCAGTTGGTAACGCTGCCGCAGAACCAGCAATTTAGCAGGTGCACCCTTCTTATGACCTGATGTCGTCTGTACGTGCGCGCATCTACTGTTTATCCGTCTAAACCTCTAGTGAGGAAATAAAAACACTGGAGAAAAAACTTAGCCAGACTGGATGGCCCCGAAAAATACTTTGCTTGACTCATTATTGCATACGAGAACAGGCAGTACCTAGCTACGGACAGTAGCGTGTGCGGTTCGGGAATGAACGATGTTTTTACTCGTGACGACAGTGCTGCTAATCCTTACGGTGGTTATAGTTATCATAATAAAAATAGTGTTATCAACCGTAACTGACTATATGATAAACAAGAAGTGAGATGTCCCTTTTAACCTCCTTTTGTGTGCTTGGGCCTGAGCGTGCGTGTCACTTGTTGTTAAATCGCTTGGGGTCAACCATAGTTTAGCCTGCCCCGCTTGACGTTTTAGTTTGATGATCGTGGCTGCATATTTAGATGCCCTGTATTTATGTTCGCTTTTGCAGTGAGTAAAAGGAGCGCAAACGGCGCAAAAAATTGGGTTCGTTGAAGAGTCATTTGCTGCAAACCACCTCCAAACATCTTTTTACATAGACGTTTCGAAGGAAAAAGTTGTTCGCTATAAAGCGCCTCGCTTTAGTCATTCAATGAACAGTACAGTTCTAAACTGTGATATGTTTGGATATCGACGCGCAAATAGGTGAACTCGATGATGCACAATTACATACAATGTATTTGTATAATAGCCAAGTGAAGTTTTTGCTAATGAAACGATTTACTCGGCGAAAACTACGCCTTTGTTTGTTGTAACCCTGTGAAGTCGTGACTGAAGCATTAAATACTCACCAAACGATGCACACACGCGTGTTTCCGTTCGCTTCTAAATACAGCTGCATAAATCTCAACAAACCATAAACAACGACAGCTTCCGCAATTGAGGTCAAAAGATGATCAGCGTACTACTAAGCCTGTATGACGAAATATATTAAATATTACTGAAGAAACATGTATCATTAAGGAAGAAAATAACATTTGTTGAAATACGTCTTTTTTTTTTTAAACCAAAAGTATTCGTATAGTAAAATAATATTTGTGGCATCTCCCATTGCTTTGTATTTAAAATATTGTGCTACACATAGAAATTACATTATACATACCTATTGTCATAGTGTAAACGGAAGCGAGTATCTACAATACTTTCAATATCCATGTGACGAACCCACGGAGTCAGTACCCAATGTTATTGCTGTAGCAGTAAATTATTTTTGCAATACTGGGAAATGCCCATGTTCCATGCTGTCTTCAGTTGCACTACTAATGCGGTACCGATGTTCTCCCAGGTGTGCCAACGCTGTTGCTAATAAGAACTATATAGTTTTACCAAATGTTCCACAAATACTCATTTACAGCCAAAGAGCAAAGAGATGAATATCTTGACTTTAACAACTAGACACGGATGCTAAGCATTCGAGACCCGAGACTTAAACTAAAAACAGAAAGCGAAGCAGTTTCAAATCTGGAAGAATGAAGCGTTCGCGAATGGCGATTTCACGAACCTTCCCATGGCACATGGTCGAACAGACCGATGAAACGAGGATTTTCGAATCAGAATTTCAATTGAATGAACGGCCACTGACAGCTGAGAGCGCAGTGACGAGCCGTCAAAGCAAAACGGGAAAGGGCAGAAATAGGCAGCGGGGAATAAGGCGACGAACAGCTAGAGGAAGGTCTTTCGTTTGAGACATTACTGTATTGCAAATGCCGTCCACAGTCTTGCGTTTCGTCTGCGCAGCGCCCCGGCGCCGGACTTTGTCGAGCCACAACAGCATCTGCCAGTCAACGAAACGGGATCGGCCCACTACCCACGACGCTGCTGGTTCCAACCCCGCTACCCTTGCGACGACCGCCGGCTTGCACTGCGAGTTCGTACAGATTTCGAATCCAAATGTAAAGTGACTTTCTGCCATCGGGCAGTACTGCACCCAAGAAGACAGAAAATAGTTGGACCGGGTAAAGAGACCCGCAGCAATACGGCCTGGATGAGAAAATCGAGAATTCGACGATGCTTCAAAAGCACCGATCACGGCAGCAGAAGCACAAAAAGAAGAAAAAGGAATAGAAGTAGAGTAGCAGCACCTCGATGAAGACGAGAAACAGAAAACGAAGAAGAAAAGGAAAAAGAAAAGACAGGAGAGATATTTATTTCTATACGCCTCCCTCCTGATTCATCTGGAACAGAAATTGGACGATTGAGCTAAAATCGAAAGAACCATCGGGACAGTTGAACCGACGTTGGCCGCTGAAGAAAGGCAAAAAGGAGTGAGTTAGACTGAGCATAGAGAAGTAAACCCCTTCAATAAATGTCTGTATCTGGCAAAATGAAGAAGAAGCCGAAATACGGAAAACGAAGAACTCTTAACAGAAAAGAACAGTTTAAAGCAAAGACTGTAGTAGCAGCAGCATTACCGTGTAATGGTATCGTATGATAGTAGAATAGTATTAGATGCGTAGCCCCCATAAGATATAAACTAACATGTTATCTATTGCTAATGCTATCGAGGTGAATGATTGAAGCAAATTGTATATTCCTACTATTAAGCGGGGGGGGAGGGGGGGGTGACTATAAAGTGCCTATAGCGGAAGGGAGACGCCGAACAAAAGAGAAAAAAGGTTAAAAAAAGTTGGACCCAAAAGGACTCCCATCGTAGATTTATTCGTGAGTTACCTATAGATTGATCTGAGAGGACTAATAGTCACTACTTAATCCAACTCGTTGGATCTTTGGCAAATAAGTTAATCCTATTATATAGATCGAGATTGAACCGATGGAGCCGAATGCAGGAAGCAAAGCCAACTGATACGAACCTTACTCATGGATCTATGCGAGCAACATACGATTACTACTCTTTATGGATATTACACACATAGTAGCAAGCTGCACAGAAGTTAGGAAATAACGGCAGACTTGGTGGCCTATGGCTATACTAATATCGACAGTTGTACAACTACAACCAGCGTCTTATAAATACGTGAGTTTAAACAGATATTCAATATAAAAAAACTCTCGGGTAAAGTATCTTTTGCTGAATTAAACAAAGCCGTTTTGCAGTTATAAAAACTAGAATTAAGAATTACGTGATTAAGCGAACATTAAATAGAGGCATTCCACCGATAATTCTTGTCGATTGTCACAGCGCTAATTCAAACTGATATAATTTCCCTTTTTCTCATACATGGCCCTGTTATCCTAACCAATATTTCTTTATCTAACTGCGGTGATATCAGCAGTGATCCGAAGTTGTACTATCTGCATGTTGCTTATTCTGCCAGAACGGCGTAGGAGTGAGTATACGTAACAACAACTAGCGCGCACAAGGAGATTTCCTACGACGCCCACTAGTATAGGACAAACTACCATCGATAAATCTCTTTAGAGCTCGAATAATACATTGACCGTTTTATCGACCGTCAATTCTTATGTTATCTAATATTTTCTAAATACATTGTATTGACAATATGATACCTGTGCCACGCCATTTACATCCTAGCACGGATTGTATTTATATCGTGCAATTTGAATGTTTGTTTTCATAAGCTAAACTAGCTAACTGTTGGGATAATGAAATGAGTTAATGGATGATGCTAGCTGAGTGCTTACAATACGCCCAAGGACTAATAATTGGACACAATGTCCTTTTGCGATTATACACAAACTGTGAAACATAAATGAATCTTATGGATAGAATTATCCGTGTTAGGGATCATTTGATACGATTTTTCGTAGCCATTTATGTTGTTTTGAACTTTGTAGTAAATGATAGGCCAATTTTATCGATGCACATACCGTCTTCCATCATTCCGACCCACATATTCTAAAGAGTTATACATAGTGCCATCAGATCACATTAACTGTTTGGAATATCGTCTCCTGAGTAGGATTATCATCGAATGACCTTAATACATAATAGCAGCAATATCGTTTACCAAAGTCTCGGAACAGAGCTGCAATGATTAATTAGCATTTACGAGCCATATTAGACGTAAAGACTTCTTTGTAGATATCTCTGTTGTATGGAAACGCATATATATAACAAGTCACCGGAGAAAACTTATGGCAAGACACACTTGCTGAAAAAAATTGCGATCACACTTCTGCTTTATGATCTCATATCTGACAAATATATTCGACCTGTTTTTAACTAATTTAATAGTGCTCTGCGCATATTTTGCTGGTAAAATGTACAGTTTCTCAACAGTCGTACATTAAGATGCAAAAATTATGAATAGACGCTACTACAACATATGCGACCTGGAACTATGTTCAATTAAAATTAAATTCACAGTATTTATGTAACTAGCTTCTTTTGCATTGCTCGTGCCTGTCAATAGCTTTATATGAGCGAAAATAGCTCAATAGACTGCGAAATGCGGGTGATAATAACATCTGTATCTAAATCGAGCTTATTAATTACATTAACTAATTTTATTACGCGAAACAGTTGCTAAAGCAAATTTGATTTACATTTCTGTACCCTGATCATTCGTATCCCTGAAAGTTCTGCAAATGCATGCTTCGAGGAATTTGTTGCTCCATTGATGTGCGGATCAATTGGAAACTGTGATTGTTTACAGCAACTTCACAAATGATACCTTTTTGTGCACCGAAAGCTCTGAGAGGTCCAATACATGCACGTTTTCCAGCGTAATTACTGACTGGTGCTTTGATGTTTCAAGAATAGATTGACGTACAACTTAAGTTAATAGAACATAAACTACTAACCTCCTACGCCGTGTTCTCCTCCACTAATACCGAACGAGTTCGGGATACGGATGTGCTCGAATCTGATGGGGACTACCGAGGTGTCAATATGTGCAATGAATTTTTTAATAGTCGTTAATGGTGCTGGACCGACCTGCAATCAATAGATTACCATTTAAGTACTAATATCTTCACGATACCATAGATACGCACTATCATAGACTTTTCCTTGAAAAAAAGGGTTAGTTTTAGGTATCAGAACACTAATTAGATCTGGAAAAGCAGGAATCACGATTGTTTAGTTTTGTGCTCACTTGTCTACGCTACAAATGTATGCATGTGTTGAACACCATGCGTACCTGTTCGGTGACTGGTTTGAGCAGAAGTCCCTGCTTCACATGAACGCCTCCCCCATGACCTCCTCCAACTGCGAAGAAATGAGTATGCTATTAAAAATTGCTCCTATATTAGTTCTATCCGATACACATCATTGGCCCATAGTTCATTAGTTTCACTAATGATTTCTCATACTGAGCCAACGCCTACATACTTTAATATTTAAGTAATGATTTTTTTACGATATGATCGATACGAAGGTACGAATTGATTACTATTCTTCCTCACGACGGAAAAGGAACCACCGTAATCCCTCACAACTTTTTCGCACCTTGTACACCCACATACTTTACAATTTCTGGCTCCTTTTCATTAGAAACAGACCAACTTTATCACGAATATATTGAATGCCTTATCAATGCATCGCGCTCTGTTATAGTGTTGAGGAATGATGGTGCCTGACGCGCTATTTGTACATTACTTCGACCAATCTTATAAAGGCCAAAACAGAGGATACCATTGGTCGCTCAATTGGCCTTCTTTCACAACCCAAAACCTCCCTAAAACCATCATTCAAACAACCAGCAGCCTACCTACCGTCTACTTATTTATTACATCTATTTATTATTTTACGCGCTTTTACTACGCTACACCTTCTTTCCCTCTCTATGCTAGTGTTCAAATGAAACGCATTTTTTCAGGGCTGTTCTCTTTTCTTCCGTAGTCTCGCTCAAACCTCTCGTATCTAGCAAGGGAACTTGACCACTTTACATATTTAATGCCATTCAGGAACTGTGTTAGATATTCGAGACGGCTACGCATTTGCATCAGTATTTAGGTTTAGGTTTCGCTGGACATCAAAGTGAAGCGCCCGTGGTTAGTAATGTCGTTGCCCACCACGTGGTCGTTGATGTGGATCCGGTCAGCGGGGCCAGAAGGAATCGTGAGGCTATGGATTGTAAGGCTTACACGTTTCAGCTCGATTGCATAGTCCAGATGCAATTCTGTGCCATCGTCGCTGAGTGCAAAAGAGGAGAAAGACCCAAAGAACGTCAGCGATCGTGACGATACCGAGGTCCACGATAATGAATAGGAATCTCAACACTGCGGCGGCTACGCAATGGTAAGGCGAAAGGCAAGACGTTTGCCTTTCTGACTATCCCAATAGCATTCTCGAATGTGGCTCGTTTCAGTTTTCTCTCTGGTCCAGTTTTGCCTGAATCCAACATCCCCTGAGAACACTTCAACTGAGTTGCAGGTATCTTTCTAGCTTTGCTCACTATGATCGCTAGTACTGGTGAACTTTATAGTAACACGTCGGTACAAACGCTGACGAATGTACCTCGGTTATGGCGAGACGACCAAGGAAGGCGAGCAGGCTTTGTGCTTGTGTCTATCGGTTAGTTTGGATTTATAACATCGGCCTAACCACGTACGATGGTTGCCATGTGATACCATGGCCCGACCTGTATGAACATCGCGCATCCGTCATATATCCCCACAGTTGTCTCGTCTCCCTCCCTTTGCCCCAAGGTGGGGATATATATGTATATCTGTATCAAATATACGGAAAGTATCGTGGTCGTCATTTTCTCCATCCTATGCAATCTCGATACGATGGTCACCTTGTGTGCTGGGTGGATCACATCGAACAGAGAGAGGCCACAGTCAGAAGATATGTGCGGGCATTTTGTGTAAGACTCATGTCTATGCAATTATAGCGTCATCGAATGCGATCAGAATTGTTGAAATCCCTGATGATGGAGCGCTCATATGAATTATAGGAGGGTTGCGAAGACAGGCTGCTCCGTCAATAGGAAAAAGTTATCCGCTTCAGTTAGACCCAAAAGCGATTAAAATAAATCCAAATTTCAGGTGACAATATGCGTGTTAGCGGATGCATATCTTTGCCTACACATCCAATGCATATCTTACACATTGTGTAGAAAACAGATATTTTTCGATAATTTCTTAAATTTTCCAAATTCATTTACCTAACTTCCTATAACATATTTTCGTTGGGCAAATAACCCTTCGTTTTAGTTGAAGTGAGCAGCAATAATCATTAACAATAGCCAATTAACGGATCTACTATTATATTTTAAATTGGTAGCACCACCTGATAAGGAGATGCTCTACAACAACCTCTATTATCAAATACTCAAATTAGTGAAACCGCCTTGCAAGGGAGCAAATAGACGTCTTGGAAGTGCAGATTTTAGTATACCCGAATTTTTCTGACTAGATCCAAGATAAAGCAACCACCTCTCAAAAAAAACGATAATTAAAGCTAGATCTTGCAATATACTTTCATATTACAATGCCATAGAGCTTTAATCAAGAGTGACCCTTAATGACTTCCGCGCCCCGAGTGCTAATCTAAAGAAAGAAATATATACATTTTCTTTCTTTCGCTACTTTTGTAAAGACATTAAATCGAGTTGCAAATAAAATAGGCGGACAATCAGTGGTTCTTTTCAATAATACACATAAACACCATCTCTAGCTCAATTTTTGCTTACGCCTATCAACAACTAACTGTATTTTTTCGATGTGCAACGAACATTTTTCATCTCACTCTTCATATTCCTATATTCTGGCCTGTTCATTGATGTGTAGCCATTGTGAATAAGCTTAAATTTAGTTTCTTTTATATTCTAAATGCATAAGAATAAAAATCTGTCTCAAATTCATATTACTAATAGAGCAATATTTCGTACCGTTTTGTTATTATGCTATTAACTCTTTTGAACCTTCTACGCATTATTATGCAAGTTAGTGCTTAGTTGACTTATAGCCTGAACAAAATATCTCTTGTGGTTCACTTTGAGTACTACTAAAGAGAGTTTTTTAAGTATGACTTTTAGTTTGAGGAGCAAATATCTATAAGTAGAAAGCAAGTACCCATTAGGTTAGCTATGATAATAACACAAAAACAGATCTGGATTAGGGATTTCAACGGCTATTAGATCTAAGACGTCAAGTCTATGCATCACATTCCTTCTGTCAACTTGTGGTACTGTCCATGCCAATTCGGAGTTAAATATAAAAGAAGAATTGGGAATTAGTAGGCAATGGTCTTTGCAGGAATAGGCCCAACTGTCGGAAATGAGTCTTTCCATTTCAGTGACTCAAATTAAGCACGTGATGGCATCATTAGTCGAACATCAAGAATATTTTTCTATAGAAACGGTATGATTAAATGTATATCACATCGTTGCAACTAAAGAGGATACGACACTTCTGGTGGTGGGCGACACTCTGAAGCCGCACAATTTCTCCCGTAATTGCCAGTTACCCATTGAGTGTTGCGATTCGAAATATTTCGAGTTTTTTTCATTGTTTCTTTTGCTTGGAATGGCTGACCTTGGTTTGAATGTCCTGGCCGCATCATCAAACCTTGCCTATTTACAAGAGGTGTTCGGTTCGTTAAGGTTTTACGCTGCTTTCCACCCCCCACCTACTGCTAAACTTTCTCTAGGGTAGCACAGTCAACACAGCAAAATGGTATCATCAGAAAAATAATGAAAATAGTGTGTTGCATAGAAAACGGAATTTCAGTGAAAACAGGTATTAATAGCTCAATTTGTTACCGCACGTAATGAGAATACGAACTGAGAAACCACCATGAATAGCTAAACCATATTGTATTGTAATATTCCGTATTAGTTTAATTAATTTACAGTCTAAATATGATACACGCATGAAAGCACGCTTCAGTTGCGGTAATCCCTTAGTAAGGAAATATGCGGGGTTTGCTAAGTGCATTAAGTTCACTCCGTTTTGAAAACAATGTATGGGTTCAAATTCGCTGCTTGGTTCAACAGAGAGTAGAAGGAGAGCTTTAGCCAAAGAAGGTATTAATGTTGCTGCTAAAGTTTAGGCGGTACGTAGGATGTAATATTATATCAAATAGTACAGTATGGTAATATCATCCACTGCAGCTATGAGGGCATTATCTGATGGACGTTGACATAGGTCTGTGCATGTTACTATCTGTTACAGCTTCCTGTGTTTTACCAGCCCTGTTTTTTCAAACATACGTTGGTATTAACGGATCCGAGCTATTTTTTGTTAGCCTTTCGAACAGAAAATATTTTAGCAGATCCTTTCTTATGAAGATCGCAGCAAATGGGATGTACCAAGAGCGGCAATAATTCCAATCTGTAAATGATACAGCAAGTTAAGGTGCGAAAAATGGTCCCTAAAGCGCTCTTTGTTTACACCTAGCGACCACGAAAAATTTAGCTATGACGTTAGTAAAGCACTTGTGTAAACCTGCACGTAATTCATTGCTACTATTGTAGGATTCAGTCCAGAATTTCCAATCGACGGCTAAATTGTTCTGAATTTGTTCTGTCTCAGCATTTTCTGTAGAGAACGCCTACTTAGAAATAATTTTGAAGGCAAGCCTTTTTGATTTCTCCACGAGTCATTTAAAGCTTTCTGGAATTTTATCCATTTTACTCTATCAGCGTGTATTATACTATCGACTTTCAAAATTATGAGGTGACAGGGGTCAGCTTTAAATCAAGGTCAATGTGTTCGTCTTCTATTGTTACTTTACTTTGGTCAACGTGTCTACACATGGGGTAGAAGGCCGTTACGTAATATCTACCTATGAGCATACCACCAAATAAAACATAGTCTACTTTGATCCGGATTTTTCCTTAACAACGTTGACATACAAGAAGACAAAGGCCTGACTAGACGAAAATTAACAAGTAGTTTCAATAATAAAATATATGCAATTATTATTAGTGTAAAAAGCGGATTTAATGTTTGATGTTATATTTCAGTTTTGTCAGATTTGATGTTCGGTTTGTCGCCGCATATGTTATAGTACCCATACCAATATATATACTTTGGACAGATATAATATGCTATATCAGCTCATAAGTCTCCCTGTCATCAATTACTCCTTATTTTTTAAACATATATATATAAACAGAGAGGATCTCCTAAATGACGAAATTTGGTTTAAAGTTCACTATATGATCTTATGGATGAGCGTGATATTTTAAGCAGCTCCTTAAGTGCTATAAATAGAAGACTAATAATCAAAACTTACATCCTGCACCGCCCTGCGACGACCATTCCCTCTCACCATTTTGATTCCCAGCGCTCGAGACAGCGACCAGCGATAGAAGCACAGCGGCTTTAGTCTGAAAACGTTTTCAGATAAGTATACATGGACAACATGAAAATCATGCGAACCTACGAATTCTACTCATGAGGATGGGCATTGCATAAACATGAAAGCATGTGTCAATCAATTCCAAGTGCATATAAGTGCCTTGGATCCGAGCCTAAGAATAGCTCGATATGTAAAAAATGGGCATAATACTTCATCGTTACTCCATTTTTAAAAATTGATGAAATAGGAGATGTAAATAGTTGGCACCATATGGTACAAAGTTACACATTCTGCTTTTAAATTTTTTTCAAGCTATTAATATTTAGACCATGTGTATCTCTTTTGCTCTCATCAGTCGTAGCAATGCACATATCTGAAAACATGCCCGCTGCTTTCATCGGTTATTGTGTTTGTCGGCTTGTGGAAACAAGCCGACAAACACAATAACAACATGTCTTTAACCATTAGTGGTCCCTTAACCAGACCCCCTATACAAAGGGTATATATATATTTTATAACAGCCTGCGTTCAATCCCCACATCGCAAAGCTAACGAAACATTTCGCCATACGCTTGTATCTGCTTATAAAATTGGCATTAAAACCTACTTAATCTGGTTCCTTTATGCCATATGGCATCGGTCTTAGACTATTATATGTATACAGAATTGCACAGTTTAAGCGTTAATACATTTTGTTAACTCTCTGCATAAATGATGGTTAATATATTGCTGCATTTTCCCCAGCCAATTATCATTCCACAATCTATTGTATTGCAAAATACTTGTAATGAGATGTCCATATTTAGTGGACAGCAGATGTTCGTCACCTGGGTAGACACAGCTGCACCTAAGTCGTACGTCTCCATTTGTTGTCAACAGGGGCAAGGCGGCCTCGTTATTAGATGCACGAACATACTTACGAAATCGCAACCTCATGCGAAGGTCATGAAGGCTTTAAAGATCATCCCCATTGGCCTTTTCGCTTCATAAATATCGTAGGGTGCGTGCTGGTGCATAGCTGCTTATTACAAATAGAAATAATATGTACAATGCTTCATGCATATGAAAGAGATTGGTATTGATTCACTGCATATATTCACATAGGTAGATTCATTAAATGTTGCTTTGAAACGGATGATCTCTTTTCTACAATCAGAATAGGGACTACAGTTTCTATAAGTGAACTTTTGTAGGCCACAATGACATATTCTGAAGGAAGTTCGTATTTAAGATAAACGTGTGCCTTCTAAATGACTAAAACAGCCTAGACGAGAGGTTCTTATAGACATTGAACCTAATCGAAGGTAACGATGCACTTGAGGTGAAAGACTGTGGCAGGAGGATGGAATGACCTCCGTGTGCATTAATTAGACTAGACTGTGCCTTTTTCTACCTCTTGATTGAGTTAGCAAAGATAAAATTGTAGCGTGTGTACGGATGTATAGGTAGAAAATAGAGTCTTAGAGGTTTTCCCGGAATAAGATACTAGGTATTTTGGCTTGAAGCTAAAGATCTGTAGAAAAACGGGAGAATATAATATAGGTGTTTGTTATCAGAATCTCCAAGTTCGAGAATATTGTAGAGAGCTTAGAAACAATTTTCATTCTTTCTCTACTTTTGAATACAGTATATATATATATATATATATATATATATATATATATCTGTACGCGAGACTCGCGTGTGCACTCTAGAATTATAGCTGCTCCCAAACGGGGAGTAATTAAGTTAATGACTGAACAGATGGTTCAACAAAACAACGCATCTGTAGACCAAGTATACTCGAACTTTCTCTCTCTCTCTCATTAGACTATAGTGGTTAGGAACTTCTGCTACCCATCCCCTTTGGCCATCTCATCATGCCTTGCCCTCACAAACCTCGAAACAGATATACTTTAGATGTCCGCCGAGGCCGTGGGAAACTCAGCTGTGGCATTACCGCCCAGAAACCGAGCGGACGACATGCCACGAAGCTCAAACCACTGTTCATTTGGCAGGCGTCACCTCTTCGTCTTTTCCTGAAAGAGCGTCTAACCGTGAGAAACGGTCAATCAACTAGTTAACGGCCATTTCATAGAGAAAGGCAAACGAACGCAAAACTTTTCTCTAAGATATTCACATCTATGTGTATTGACGTACATATATAAGTATCTTGGAGTTAAAGGCTGGAAGTTTATAGAGCGAACGAGGAAACGACTCGTTGTAAGATCATCAGGTACCGGTAGAATGATGCTGTTCGCACATATATGATAGTAATGGCGGTGGTAGTTTCTGAACCACGCAACAACAGGACCAGATGTATAGTCCGGATGCATAGGTTTTTTCAACAAAACGACGCTGACACTAAGGACGGGTAAAATAAGCCGACAGATATTACGATTAATGATGTAACTTGATTACGAAATGAAAGGAACATGGTGCTAGAATTTCATTGCTACATTATATTGTAATGTCACAACTACTGGTAGCACTTAATCCTAATAGTACCCGGAAAGTCTTTTTGAGTTTGACTTGGAGATCACTAGTATTTTGAGTAGAAAATTGCATTGAGACTGAGGACTGATTCACGATAGCAACTTGATACGCGCAGAAGTATTTCTTATGCAATAGACGAGAGTTACATTAAATGAATGTACAATCATTAAATCTTTATATCTTGTATGTTGTATCATTAAACCTATAGAGGTCATAAATAATGCAAGTCTGTACCCATGTTATATGCCGTTAGTGTGAATTAAATCTTAAAATCATTGCTCAAAGGAGACAACACATCGCTAAGCATCGTAAGTACATGTAACACCTCGTGCAAAAACTGTACCGAAGTCACCTTCAATGATTTTAGAGTATTGTGTAATGTAATTACAATATTTCTGTACATTATAGCGATCTGCAATGATCACTTGTGATAATTTTAAAATTTGCCGTTAAATATAATAATATAAATATAATAAATATAATAAATAAAATTTAAAAAAAGTAAAAAAAAATGCCGAAATTCATAGGTTAGAAAGGACAAACGATCAGCTAAATAGCGTTCATAATGATCAGCAATAATAAGATAAAAACGCATGTCGAGTCTTGGTATAAAGCTTGTGAGACAGCGCTCTATATATGTATATGTGCTTGTATTTGTGCGTCAAAATTGCTCGTCCCTACTTCATTTCATACACGAGATTACATAGACTAATAATGTGGCAGAACTGGATATCTCATTTTTTCCACTTTTGGAGCAACCTAATAAATCATTAATTAACACAGATTTATCTAAGGAACTCGAAAGAGAATGCAAGCGGTGTGGTAAGTCTAGACAAAAGTAAAATATTAATGAGCCAAATAAGAGTCATATAGCATATGTCGAAAAGCATAGTTTATCACACGCATGAAGAATCGCTAATAGCCAGTCACAGATGTTTGTCGGATGACCTTAACGTCCGGTTTGTTCTACAATAAGAATAGGGTCAGTTGCATTCAACATAAAAAAAAGTTCTGAGACGTACTCTGTAATTTAGCCTCTGAACACCCTTTGCTCGGTATGTCTGGTCGGAGACAATATAACATTTGACTTTTTATTTTATAGCACTTCTACAACATACAATAGATGCTCGTTGACTGTACTATCATCCTTTATATGCAATTCCATGAAATCCATTATAACACTGTACCTTACTCATGTTAAAGATCTTCTTCCAAACTATATTCCGGTAAGCACAACAAATGGCTGCAGTCACAAAACGAACGCAAACCACAACCGCCTACAACGTAAGCTACACCGGAAACTTAACAAGCGACTTCTGGATGTGCGCTTTTGGAAACTACATTTAGTAAATGACTGACGTCACGATGTCCTCACGCCACGATACTGGTCCAGGCAATCAACAAGGGTCACAATTCACTAGTTGCGATATACTGACAAAATGGTACAACTAAATTACTGACTAATTAGCCAATCAATCAAACCACTGGTAACGACGAAACAGCGCACGTAACTCAAGCACAATGAATGACGAGAACAGCACAACAATGACGACAACGACACATTAACGAACGGCCGCACTTAGCGGCGCTCCAGCTACGACGACAGCAGTCGAGGTGGTTTGCGACTGCTGGCGATCTTCTGCCGTGAAGTTTTTGCACCAGGGCTTCTTATAGAAGAGCCCTAGTCGGTGTCGGTGTCGGTGTCGGCGCCGCCGCCGCCGCCGCCGCCACCGCTGTTACAGCTACGATAACCGATTTTCCGGCCCGGCGCCAGCATGCATCCGCGCGTATGGTTCCCTGGTAGAGCAGGCGATAGTGCGACAGTAGCAAGCACTATAGGTGCACCAAATGAAGCACGGTATTCTAACCGCGGTCCACCTCTCTGCGCATGCGTCGTCATGGCTCTCTACCACATCTCTCTACTGCATCAGATTGCCTGGACTACCAAAGTCAACAGTGTCGTCTTCCGCGGCAGCCTGGCAGGAACAACTGGACAGTTTACCTTAGCAAAGCTAAACCATACGCACACACTGCGGGAGAGCGATATATCGTTTACATTTATTGTTGAGCAACAGAGCATTTTGCTCCTTCTAGTGTGTGATAACGCAATTGTTACATTAGGCTTTTATGACCGATGATATCGCTAAACTAAATAGAAACACACAAATAGCAAAATGATCTCATTCAAAAATCAAATTCTTTTCGAGCTACTCGCTGTGTACGAAAACATATGACTGCTTCATCGATAGCGTCTATATCCATGATAGGTTGGTGTTGAGTATATGACAGTTACGATAAACTAAATACGTAGATAAGATTGAGGTCGATCATTCATAGACAAAAATGATCGGAGGGCAGGATCCTGCAAAAGCTCTTTTTGCAGTAAATATTAAACGTATTTACCTATTCAGATGAACACTGAAAGTGTCGTGACACCATCAGTGTCAAGGGTTATTACATATACATACATATATATGTGTATATTCATGCATTCTTGATGTGTTTATTTTGAATTGTCACAAATGACGCTAGTTCACTAAGTGCGCATTTCATCGACGTCATACTACAGACGGCAATACTTGCCGCTATGATTTAAGCGCTATCATGTCACTCAGGCAACCGTCTCGGAACTTTTTACAAAGGCGGGTTATGCCATAATCCAGTAGCATTTACCAGATTATTATAACAGCCAACACAACCAATATATAATGTACAGTTACGCATAAAAAAATATTTGACAAAAAGTATCTTGTATTCAGAAAACTAAATTTCACCTGGACCACCTAGAAGGTTCTGACCCCATTAATTAATTAAGTACATATGAACATGTCGCAGTGAGAATCTTGATACTCCTGCAAATGAACAGGTAAGACCGGAAGTGAAACTGCACACTGTCTAAATCTAGCACAGCACACACGCATATCAGGACTATCCAGGATCTTGAAGAAACGCGTCAACTGACAGTGTTTTTATTTGACACTAATATGTTGCAGTTACCTTTTTGTGAACTACTGGAGACAAATACGTGTTTTTAGCTAAAGTACCATTTTCTAGTATCATACGACGAGGGATTAATAGGAGCAGATGAATCATTGGTACGAATTTGTTTATAACGTCGCGTTGAGCAATGGTGCTCTGTGAAAGTGGCATGATTGTGCATAGTCAGTCTCTGATGCTATAAATCATCCAGCCTGCACTTCCATTCGATAAGTTGTTGGTCCATACCGTCGATCAGACACCATTCTTTTTTCGCCGAATTGGATGTTAAGCATGACCCCGGCTTCCTCTGTAGTTGCTGTTTAGCTGACCGCATCATGCAAGCATACGTGCAGCCATACAACAGTTATGACCAACCAATGCGGTAGCGTTAACGATAGTGACTCTGCCGCAATCTTTGTTCGTCTGTGTATCGTTTTGCGCGCTCCTATGCCAGCCGATCATCGCTCCTCGCCTGCAACTAACCGAAGAAGGCAGCATTATGTAGCGATTCCTGAACGATGGATAGAATTCCTGCGCACATTATACAACTTCGTATTATATCTACATACTGCTATGGCTTTGGTTATGTCCGGTGCAAATGTATACTGCTATAATATATATCCCCTCCCCCTCTTTCATGCCCTTGTTATGCCGTCGTTCTGACTTTGTTGCTCTTTCATGACAAACTCAACCGACGCGGAGCAAGAGGAGGAAGTAGTACTACGACGTGTCCCTAAATACGTTCCAGATCTGCTTACCGGAATGGCAGCAGGGATTTCCCCGTCATATCTAAACTGTGAGCTTGGAAACATCTGCTATTTAGTTTGTTGCAGCTGATGCAACGAAGGGCGTTAAGGAGAAACCCAACTGCCTCGATCTCATTAACATTTTGTACTTCCATAATATCGACACGCCATTCTGAAAAAGTCTTGTCAATGTTTCAGATCAACAACTTAAAGTTACGACCCAGGTCAATAAGTCGTTCTGTTTCAAAGTGATTCGATGAAGGATGTGCTGATTCTGAAGTCTGGTCGGCGAACTGAGACAAGAACATGTAGGCTTGTTTGTTGCACAGGGTGCAGTTTGTCCGTTCAGCAACCATTTGTGTACCTATTTGTACGTATTTTCATTGCTATAGCTACCTGCTGCTGTTGCCACCTTTGCCAACTAGTCTTTTCGTGTCTGCACAGACTGGCCGTCCGTCTCTAATCATCGGATATTCACAAGACCTTTGACACTGCCGCCCACGTTGTCCGGGCTGTCGGGACCGTCACTATGTTGGCGGTCAGTGGCTAACGGAAGGAGGCTGCCGCGATAAGTCCTGACTTCAGATTGAAGTAATCGTTCCGGCGCAACGTTGCGCGATGCTCTGAATGGCGGGTTCAGTCAGATGAGGTAAGAAAGCTAGCTCAGTGCATACAAGCAAGGCAGGTTAGCGGCCACCCGTCAGATTCATGTACACTTTAACGTTATTGTTATGATAATGATAACTACACTATAATTATAGTGCCTCCACCATATATATATATATATATGCATGCGTCTCGTTGCTAATAGTGCCTTCGCAACAACAGTTCCATATTACGATTTTCAGAATACAATTCTAAAGCGGTATATATATCGATTTTTTTTTCGTTAGACTTCTTAATTTTTCAGACTTTTCTTAAAATTACTTCGCAGGAGTACGGTGTATTACTGTTGATTTGATTCACTTTATCCAAGTCCCATTCAACGTTCGCGAGTTTACCCATACTAAAAGTGGATCTCTTGGCGAAACCATGCAGCAATTAATAATCCGTGACCTAATATAAATCACTTGATTACTAACACTTAACTGACTAAACAATATTAGTTTCAATAATGCCGATGTTGCAACTTTATGTTACTCAGCTTATTTGAGCATTTACGTTGACTGATTCCAAATGTTGTACCCTACTATCTAGTGAAAATGGTGAGGAATGTCTATGAATGATATTCTTAGTCAAGTTAAAAGTAAGGCAACCCTTCCTGTGGTAAAATCTCAGTTTTTCGATGCTGATAGAAAAACTAGGTAAGATTTTTCAGTTTTTTATTTGTCAATAAATATAGAGTTTTGCTGCTTCCTTATTACCGCTCCGCGCTTTTATAGGAAGCTATTGGAATAATAAATCTACTGCTTTTTTGCTCTCGTCTTTTAATGCTACGTTCCACCAGATTATTCTTAGAAAATTCTTAGAAGAATTTTCCTGTAAAGTTTCCCAGTACACACTGCACTTTTAAACACGTAACGCTCCGGAAAATTCCTATCGACTTCCCTAATATAATATGATTCAACCGGCAATTTTGAATGTTCGAACCAATAGCCTCAGACCTGTACACAACTAGTACAGAACATACAGACCGAATATGTCTTTAAAAAGCGCTTAAGTAGAATCTGTACATAGGCTAGCATCAACATTTTTCAACTTCATTTGCTGATAAGCAACTTGGACCTCCTTCGGATTTTATTCTGTCACCAGCTATTTTAATAATTCGTAAAAAAATCATATATATATATATATATAAATTTCCCAGGTCCAAGTTGCTTATCAGCAAATTAAGTATATATATATATATATCTTGGACCTGGAAAATTATATTGTAAATTAAATTATTGGTCCAATATATATATATATATATAGAGAGAGAGAGAGAGAGAGAAAGGTGAGTAAAGGCTGATCAGTTTAAAAAATGTAAGCCTCTCGTCTCCATTTATACGACATTATTTGAACAAACTAGTTGGACTCTTCTGAACATAGATTCTTGGCAAACGAATAGAAACGATACTAAAAGCGAGGCTGTGTCAACCTTTACGTTCTCTTATTTACACTTGCGGGTGTTGATTCACACGCCCGTTGGTCGGGACCGTCATTGGTCTTTAAGACCATCAACAGTCATTTCGTACTGTTACTCTATGGCGATATTATTTACAACATTTGATCCGAAAAAGGTATGCCTGAGAAAAATTTGCCGGAGACGTGGTTCGTAATTGCACCTTGATGGATAAGTTAATTCCTCGTCTACTTTGAGTCACTATCATCAAAATATTACCACTTGTTCAAGGCTGCAGGTTAGCTTCTAAATACAGATATTTCTCCTATTGACTGATCATATGAAAATTGTACGCAGACTTGAGGTACGAGCAAGCTAGAACGAGTGAACATCGTTTTTCTCGCAAAACTAATCTTATGCTAAACTACATTTATCTGCAGGCCTCGTCCGTGCTTATTGATCACTATATGAAAAAGCTATGGAAACAATTCGATTCGATCATAGCCTATTTCCTTCATAAGTGAATAACGGTATAGCGTAATCACAAACTTAGTCACAGAAGAAAATTCTTGCAATCTTCTACTTTGTGTATTTGCCAGTTGTGTTTTATGCGAGTTTATTGTCTCAGACTATCAAATTTTTGAGGAAAAATTTACTTAGTTGTCACCTTAAAAAGAATGGATAAAATACTTTCGCGTGGTATTTGCAGGGTAGAAATTGTCGTCCATGATTCATAAAAGGGTCAGCACGGGTTGGAATAAGGTTATCGAGTCAATATTAGAGATTTACTGTAACTACTAATAACATAAGAGCATTACCTTCGCATTGCGTTATTAGCCTTATGAATCAGTTGATTTGTGATTAAACAGTACCCAGGTGCGTTGTTTCGACT